CTGTCTCCAAAAAAAAAAGGAAGGAAGAGAAAAGACAAAAGTATAAACAAAACATTCTAATGCTGAAATGTTAAGTAGACTCTGTGTCCTTTTTTGTGTGACATTGTCGCTAATAAATGCCAAAGAAATGGGGAATTTTAATAAGACATTTTATTTAAGCCAATATACCCAAAATATTCTCATTTCAACATAAAAATTTTATATTTCACTCAATATAAAAGTTATTGAAATATTTTGCATTTTTTGATACTAAATCCCCAAAATCTGGTGTGTGTTTTACATTTATAGCCCAGGTCAGTTTGAACCAGCCTCCCTTCATGTGGTCAAAAGCCACAATTGGCTAATGGCTTCCGTGTGGGCCGGTGCCGTGCTAGAAACCTGGGTCTTATCCCAGCGCGTTGACCAGCCCCTCTCTCGCTCTCTGGGTCTCAGACGGAAAACAAGGGTCCTCTGACTCTGAACGGCTCTGGCCAAGGTTTCTCTTTGAGCCTGTAGGATGGGGACCCTTGCCGTTTGTGGGGACGGGCCAATAATGATCGCTTTTGATCCCAACAACAGAGATGCTCGGAACCTCATAGAAGCAGTCAGCAGTGGGGCCACCATCTCTGTGAAAGTAGTCACCAGCATTGCTGCTAACCTGATTGCGTACCTCGCTTTGCTGGCCTTCATCAACGCTGTCCTCTCCTGGCTGGGAAACATGGTGGACATCGACGGGCTCAGCTTCCAGGTGTGGGTCCAGCCAGCCCGCGCAGCCTGTGGAGGGGATGGCCTCGGGTGGGCAGTTGGCACTGACCTGGGCCCAGCTCAGGGTCCCAGCCATGCGTCTTGTCCTCACGCCCTAGCTCATCTGTTCCTACATCCTGCGGCCTGTGGCCTTCCTGATGGGTGTGGCCTGGGAGGACTGCCCCGTGGTGGCTGAGCTGCTGGGGATCAAGCTGTTTCTGAACAAGTTTGTGGCCTATCAAGAACTCTCCAAGTACAAGCAGCTCCGCCTGGCAGGGGCTGAGGAGTGGGCTGGCACCAGGAAGCAGTGGATCTCCGTGAGTGTCTCCGTCCCCTCCCTGCAGCCTGGCTCCCTGGGCCTGGCTCAGACACCCTGAAGTGGCACTTAACTGTCACATCCTATGGTCCTGGGAAACAGGATGGCTTCGGGCTTTGCTGCCATGTTTCTTGGGGTCTCTTAGGAGGCGAGGTGCAGGTGTGAAGAAAGAGCCTTGTTTGACATAGCTGAGACCTAGCTCTGCATGGGCCACCCGCTGTGGCGCTGGGCCAGCCGCTGCGCCTTGAACCTTCAGTTGGACAC